TCTCCCCTTTAACAAGATTCAGTTGCTTCCTGCTTATATTCTTTTATCTATGATTCATGTCATGAAAATGTATGTGGAGGACAATTTTTTTGGATTACAATAACAAATATTAGGAAGTTCACCAATTTTACACTGTTTTATGCTTCAGTTAACATTTTGATAGAATTCAGTGTTCAGCCATACAATTGGTCATGTCATAGTTTCAAATGTTCAACATGTACAGTTTCTAGCACGTCCAAACATTTGACGATTTTAGAGAAAAGCTTTAAAAGTCCCTCAATAGATGAGTTTGTAGGAGTGATCATGTAACTGACACTTGCCATTGTTGTTAAAAGATTTCAGCCATCAGCTGTTCTCTAGGTGCTTTAATGCTGCATGCAGACCTACAAAGCATTAAGGATAGTGATGTGAAGGATAGAGAGAATGGGATGATGCTGAGAAAGAGAGAAAAAGATACAGCAGTTGGTGTGTGTCTTTGTGTATATGTGGAAGCATGACAGAGAGAGAGAGAAGTTCCTTACGGCAGAGGATCCCCTACTCTTTCATATCTTACCAAGCGTGACTAACGCCTGGCTTTACCCTGTCACACATACACAGAAAAACACACACACACATCACCGTATACACATGTACCAGGATGCTGAATCTGCTCCCAATCTAGTCACGTTTCTCTGGCTATGCAGGACTGCCTGACACGCTAATGCATGACAGCGAGGGTGTACACGTACTTCACATCTCTGTGTTTGTGTGTGTGTTTCTGTATGTATGTTAGTCTCACTGTGGGTCTGTGGTTGTGGTCAGCGGGCAATCTGCAGGCGCGCTCCTTATTAGGAAGGCACATGTCTTGATAGTCAAGCTCGAAGGAACACATGAATGCAAACAGAGATATTTTTAGTTTCTGTTTAATTCATATGTGTATTCATTCAGATATGTTCCTCCGTCATGTCAACATGAAAATAGAATTTATTAAAGTCAGGATTAAGTAAGTGTTTGTGTGAGTGAAAATGTGGATAAGTGCAGAGGGCAGGAGCATGCAGCGCTGTGACAGCAGTCTGAGCCAGGTTTCCTCCATGGTCTTAGTGCCCTGCTGGACCTGCTGCTCTCCAGATTATTTTCAGGAGGTTTTGAATAATTGCCAAGATAACACCGAAGAAAATGGTCATAGCCTAGAGGTGGAGAGGAAATAAACTGGGATTAATATCATAAGAAGGGTCGGTCAGTTTTTGGAAAAGTGTTCACTGTTGGCCTGAATGAGGTTAAAGTGTGGAGCAGTGGAAGTCGAGGTGGGAGGGTGTGTGTTTGTGTGGGGTGGTGGTGGGCGGGGGGGCATGTCTGTTTGAATTCATCGGAATTAGCTGTTGTAGTGTTCCCCCAGTGGATAGCAGCTGCCTACTCCCTGCCTAAAAACAGGATTTCAGGAATAGATCTTAGAATCGGCATTGGCCAATACTTGCATGTATTCGCTGATTGATTAGTGCATTCAACAGCCATGCCTAGAGGTCACTTAACGTGCTCGCATCCAACCACTTGATGTCCTTTCTAAATGTTTTTTGTGACTTTTTAATGAATGTTTGTTTTTATTATTTGAGACTTGCATAGCATTTGTTTTCATTGTATAATTTTTAACATCTAGATTGAGAAAGAGAAAGCAATATCAGCTTGAAAATCAGCCCAAAAATCGGCAGCACATTTTGACATCAGTTAGGCTGATGCCAAAATAAGCTGTAATGGCATCAGCCTCAGAAAACTTTATATAAACCTTCATATGAATATATAACCTTCTTTGGTCATTCTCCGGTTGATTAAAATTCTTTTTTTATTTAAAACAATCCTCACTGGACATGAAAGCTTTTATTTCAAAAGGTAAAAACTGAAGAGATTTTGTTTTCACTGCAGCTACTGACAGGAAGATGCAAAACAGGAATGTTTCTCCAAAAGAAACTTTTAGATCTGTTTTATTGGCAGCATCTAGATTTAAAGAAATAAATGCATGTTCACCAAGAATATTGTGTGTTCCAATTCTCTGTTATTTACCTGCAGAGAGGTCAAAAGGCAATGGTATTAATACAGTCTGGCTCTCTGCAGGGGAGGTGAATCTGTCTCATATCTTTGCTACAGGCTTTTTTTGTCTGTTTGATAGGAGTGCTATTTTAGCCTTGCTTGCTGTATCTGTAACTCTGTATGATTTAGTTACACCCTGAATTAGGTAAACAAGCCAAATGTAATTTTTTTAAATGCATGAATATAATAGTAGGCCTTGCTTTTGGTGGTTTTATTCTGCTATGACCCAGAATCTTTTCTTGTTAATAATAAATCCAACATGTATTGGACATTGGACAGAGTATGTGAGGCAAAAGGATCATATGTGTTGTCATAAATAACCATATCTCTGAACAGTTACAACATTACATTTTCTCTCAATCTCTTCAGATTAAGTTTTCTCAAGAATGATTGCATAAAGACTGATAAGGAAATCTGGTTTGATACCTTTCAGAAAATAAAAGCTTAATTTATTTTTCTGTCATTTTTTTTTAGATTTTCAATGTCATTTGGTTAGTGAAGAGTGGCACCAAAGTGGGTTTTCCCGATATAAGTTTTTCATTTCCGATAAAATATTAATTCTGCCCTTTTGAGTATTCACTGATATCGATATAGATGCAATACAATATCAGCATACATGCAAACATATAGTTAATGTTTATTTTATTTTATGGGATGATAGAAAATATTTGATCAAGTGATCTCTCTTAAACAGAGAACAATACTAAACATCAGGTATGAGAACCATTGACCCATTTCTTAGCAAAAAAAGAGTTACATAATCTTTGAACAAAAGCGGATAGTAGTGAAGTGTTTCTATGAGCTTTCTTATATCAGAGATTTTAGAGGCAGGTCATTAGCCCGATATTTGACCGACTTACAATATCAATACAGGATCTGGTCATCCCTAACCCAAAGTGGCCTTTATTGGCCAAAATGACATTCAGAATATTAATTTATAGGTTTTAACAAGCCTGCCAATGTAAAAGGTTTCTCCAAAACACACTCTCTTTACTAACCACTAAAGCCAAAAGGCTTAAAAACATATTTTAAAATAGTTTTACCCCAAAATTTAGCATTTAGATTTTTTTATTGTATTGATCTAATGCTCTCATTTGGACAGTCCATTGTTTATTCACTTTCTATTTAGTGTTTAGAGTTTTGTTTCCAAAAACTGTACCAAAGGGATCATTGCTTTACAAATATGTATGTGACCTAGGAATATATGACATGCAGGAAGCTATGGATTCACTTTGAATATTTTTTTTGTGCAGTCCTACTATTCCTGCTGTTAACTTAGTTTACAAAAAAATATATATCTATAAAAGAACACTGTTTTAGAAGGATTTTCTGTCAAAATAGGAAACACAAAACCTTTGCTAACTTTTCTTTTCTGGTAGTTTAGATTTATGCAATAGTGCCTTTATTGTTCTCTGTAAAAATATCAGGTAGCTGCAGCTCTTCCAAACTGCTTCTTCCAGACATCTATCCAACAAAAGGAATAGTTTTTAGCAAGTTTTTGGTCAACAACAATTCATCTTTCGCCTTCTTACATCATAAAACAACATCATTCCCAACAAGAGAACCATATTTAAAATTATTTCAGAATGATAAAATAAGGACATGGAGCAGAATGTATAACTGTGTAAGCACAAGCAGTAATTTTTAGGACGGCATTTAGTAAAAGGACCAAAAGTTTATTTGCTTTTATTTATTTGTAGCTAACCAGAGTAGCTGCCATTAGCGCTCAGTAACACCTGACAGAAGATAAAAGACTGAACCCACTTTGACCAGGATGTGTGGGGAGATGACTGAGATCTTATTTGCTCTTTTCCTGACCCCTAGACCTCTACAGGTTGTGGATGGAGGAAAGATGAGTGTTTTATCACAAACATTTTTTTAAGGTTGCTGAAGATGTTTAAGGATTACAGTTTGAACTTGACTGTCTTTCATTTTTGGTGTTGCTTTTGCTGAATGTAATCTGTCTTGATGTGAGCCAAGTTGTATTCCTTTTATACTTAAGAGGACCGTCTGTTTTTGATAGCACAGATCGCATACACTAAGGTTGCCAAAAATTCAAAAACAAAAACTGTTAAAATAAAATCAAGACTTAATATCCTTTGATTCAACAAATTAACACGCTAACTCCAGGACATCATTTTTATTTACATATGATTCATAAATGGGCTTCCTCCTTGCTGCTTAGCCATCTGAATGGTACACTCACAGCTGGCATTAAAGCCTTCACCCATCCCCCATTAGGTTTCCTTATTCTAAGCTCTATACTATGTGTTTTATAGCAAAAGAGAGTGCCTAATACTTTATAAGGGATACAAAATGTAAAATGTTAAATAAGAGAGCAAAAAGAGACTATTCTTGCTCACTGTTTAAGGATGCTCGATCTGCAACTGAAAAGGGCATGATGAAATTGTACAGCTATGAGGAAGAGAGAAGAAAACTGTTATTCCCTGAGGCACTCTTGTCCTCTTCACAGTCGAGGCCCAGTTTTTTTTTTTTTTTTTTTCTCATATATGATGCTTGAAAACTTCTGCTTGGAGCCCTGTGTGTGTCAGTCGGGCGGCCATGCATGTAAAGAAAGAGAAGCTCAGGGAAACAATTACCTTCATGCTGAGTGTACACCTGGACCGGTCCATGTGTTTACTCTAAGATGCACTATCTAACATCTAATTACACATGCATGTGTGCACACACTCACGCTCTGTTTCTCTCTCTAAGGGTGGTTGTGACTTTATGCCCTTTTTTTACACTGTTCTAAATCTTGAATCTAGATCTAATTGAATGTAAATTATTTACTTCTGATCATTAACAACTCCTTTTATCTGTCTTCCTCTTCCCCTACGTCATACCCTAACCCATGTTTACTTCTTCCATCCTATCCTTTTTCCGTGCCTCAATTTGGTAAATTTCCCAAACTTCACATCCCATCCTTATCACTATAGAAGTATCGATACCAAGAGGAAGAAGGGACTTCACCAGGTGTCCCAAGACTTCACCATCACACCTGCCATCAGCATCCAATGGGAATTGCTGGAGAGATAACCGATGGAGGGACCCTGGGGAGGGATGGCGGGACACTTGGAAGAGATGGAGGGACTCTTGGAAGGGATTCAGGGACGTTAGGAAGGGATTCAGGGACTCTAGGAAGGGATGGAGGGACTCTAGGAAGACATGGAGGAACACTGGGGAGGAAGGGAGGGACACTAGGGAGGGACAGAGAGACCTGGAGGCGAGATGGAGGGGGCATTGGAAGCATGGAGCGAGAAAGGGAGCGATCCCTCGGGAGAGATGGATCCCTCATTTACCATGGTGACCTGCGTGGAGCAGAACTGGTTCAGGTGGCGGAGCGCCAGCTTTCTCAGATCCAGCATGTCCATGGATATGTCACTCATACACACATCGCACCCGCTCAGGTAACTCGGTGTGGCTTTCTGTGTTGCTTTAGTGCATCTTCAGTAAGTTTTAAAAATAGATTTATTGAATGGATTTTTTTTTTTTATCTGCAGCTCAAACTCAAATACGTCTTTTATCATTGTGGTGACTGCTGGACAAATGCTCAATGAAAAAAAGGAAAATCAATGAAGTAGAATCCAACATTTTAAAATAAAAGATTCACAAGCATATAATCCAAATTCCAGATGGACAAGTCTACTGTTAATATCCAGAATCATTGGTTAAAAAAAAAAAAAAAACAGGTCTACAAAAATTAACTGGGTTGAAACTAAGCTGAGACAAAATAGCAGAGAAAACAGGAAACCTGAAGGGTTAAATGGACAGCTTTATTGGGAAGCATCAGGACGACAGCTGGTGGGGAAAAAAAGAGAACCCAAGTACAGGAACAGATGTTAAACTTTATATCTAACTTTTCTGCTAACTTTTCTATACTGTAAAAATAAGTTGAAGTTTCGAGAGAGACACTTGCAAAGAAGCATGGAAGCTTTGTGCAGAAAGACCATAAGTGCTAACAAATGCACTGCCTTGCTGATTTCTTTTTTATTTATTCTGTAGAGTAAATAGTAAATACCCTGTTACCATGAGATTCATAGTGGATAAAGGTTCTTACCCCATCACTTTTTTGTGTTTTGTCAAAAACAGCAACAAGTGTTAATGTGAATCTCCACCTTAGTCGGTTTCTGCCAGCTTCCCTTTCCCCAATGAAGACAAGCCGTCCCGCACTCTGATCCTCCCACTGCCATGTTTAACCATTGGTGGGGTGTTTTTAGGATTATGCCCAGTGTTCGTTTTCGTACCACACAGATTTTTGTTTTATGGCCAATTGGTCTGTTTGAGCTCATCTGACACCTTTTTTCTACATGGCAAATATATTGCAAACTGCAAATATGACTTCCTATGGGTTTGTTTCAGCACTGCCATTCTTTAAAACACTTTTTTTTTTTTTTTTACCTGCACACAAGTTGTGTATTTATATTTATCCTCCAGTGACCATGGCCTCTATAAGTATCTCTTGAGTTATACTCTCACTGCCTTGATGTCAGTGTAGGTGAATGGTTTGTTAAAGTATATGGATATTTATCACATTAAAAAACCCTTTTTGAGATTGTTTTCTTTAAGCAATTAAGTAATTAAGTACCAATGATTAATGACTATATATTGGTATATTTTAACTTTAAATACTACATCAAATGCATTTAAGGCTGGGGCTGTAATGGGATAGCTAGACAAAAAAAAGTTCAAGAGCTTAGAGCAATTTTGCAATAATACAATGAATACAAATTCATATTTGTTTTACAACAAATAATTAGTGCTTTCATTCCAACTTCTTGTTTTAAAGCTGTACATTTTCCATTAAGTTAAAGACAGTGGATAACTTTCTGGAGTCAAGGGTATCTAAATTCCCCTTCAGTCCCAGACTTTATCCTACAAGGATACAATACTCATTGCAGAATTGGATAATGAGACCTGTCCCAGTTTTAGTTATGTAAGAATTCCTTCACTTTTCTCCACAAACTATATGTCCACGTGTCTCTTTTTTTCCTACTGTATTTGTTTGTCTGTCTTTGTATTTTTAAATTCTCTTTGTTTATTTATATATATATATATATATATTTTTTTGTTTTTTTTCAGAAGCCGCACTTATACCATTGTACATGCCTAAGACTGCACACACCCACATTCAGTTATTATTTACAATAACAGGCTGTTTTTGCATGGCTTTTCTTTTTTTTTTTTTATTTGGTCATTACTTGCACACAGTTACTAGTTGTTTTTAAGTTATTTAATGTAAGAATTCACTTCCTGTCATGAGGCAAATGGCTCGTAGGCTATCAGATTTTCATATTTTTGTCCTCCTCCTCTGTTTTATCAGGCTTTACCTCCATCTTACAATGATGCCTGCCATCCCCCACCCCTTTCTAAGTTCTAGCATCTGTGGTGTATTCTTAAGACAATCTGTCCCTTTGTTCAGTAGCAGCCGGTCAGTATCGGTTGGGGTAAATAACAGATTAGAATGTGGGTTTGTGACTTGCACTTAGACCTGAGCAGTGTTTGATAGTTCTTTCTATTTTTTATTTGATTCTGGTTTCTCATTGTGGCATGTTGATGTGAGATAGGGCAAGATACTTAAACTCAAGTTGCCTTCTGATCTGTGTATCAGTGTATGCATATGTGTTGTGTCCTTAAAGTGCTGCATAAACACATTAATATGTTTGCATTTGTGGTGTTGTCAAACTGTTCATCTTTGTACTTCATTGGAAGTCACTATCCACCATTTCATTGGTTGACAACCTGGAAAATTTAAGACAAAGGTTAAGAGTTTCATTGGATTGATTTGCTGCAAGATAATATGCTCTGCAGCTCCACCTTGTGACAAGATAAAGCTCACTCCAAGATAATGCAAATCGTTTAGCTGTGGTTCATCTCTACCCAATATTGGCAAGATTGTACAGCATTTACTTAAAAAATTAAGCTCAGGGGTTTTAAAGGATAACTTGACCTTTATCACGCCACAGCCTCATTATAACCATTATCATCAATGCTTTCTGCAGGCTGCTCTGTTCCAGCAGCTTATCACCTGTCTATCTGTATATAATCTGCCAGGAGAACTCTTCCTTATGCGGTCAGCATGTGTGTTTGCTACTGGGATATTGGGTTTATTTTGAGAATGTTTTCCCAGGTGGTGAGTGTTTATTTGAATGTGTATGACCACAGGTGCTGGATCTGGCAGATTCGTTTTGTATGACAGATGGACCAGCCATCTTGTCCTCTCCCTGTAAATGTTCCTTTCTTTCTGTTTCTACTCACAATCATTCAGCTCATTTCCAAAACTGCAAATAGGAACATCTGAAAAATCTGATTCAGTTATGCTTAGTTGATTATCAAGGAAAATATAAATACATTTTTGACCCCAGAAAGATTTTTTTTTGTTCAAAAATTGTCCTGAATTTGAGTTATATTATGAGATTACCTGGCTCTAATGCCTTGCTTCTGTGTTTACAAAACTGAAGTTGAGATCTAACCAGACCAGCTTTACGGGTGCACAACTTAAACATGATCTAATACTCAGCAGGTCATTTTTCTCATTGCTTTCACACATACCCTGTCTACCTCCACAGAATTTTTTTTGTTTTACACTGACTTGCTCTTGTTCAGCACCCAGAGGCTACATCAGTTTCTTTTTCAGCTTCCTTTTAATTCACTGAGCTAAAGCACAATTATTCCGACTCTTTGTTTTCGCTTACCAAGATATAACTTTATGTTCCAGCAGTTAATGCTGCAGTTAATTGTTTACGAATACATTATACATTGCCTTCTCAGGCAAAGCCTTTAGCCTTCCAGATTATGATGTAATAATAATGCATGAATTCTTTTGTGCTTTGATTTAACTAACTAAAATATTTGCTTACTTTAAGTCTTGAACTATTACCTGTATAGTAATACAAATTTGGTCCTGGTCATACATTAACTTGTACTTATTGTCTAGGACAGTGGACGGATATTAGCTAATTTATTATTTAATTTGACCCTTTTGAAACTAAAAGATAACATTATATTTTGCAATAGGAAAACAAATCCTAGATATATATGTTTTTTATTGTCATTGGTTTATAATCCAGACTGGATCAAATGATAGACCCCAATATTTGGTTAAGACTCCCTTAGCAGGTTGCTAAGATACCAAATACTTTTTGGAGCCATTAAAAAAAATCTTCTGGCATACTTTTAGCAAAATATTTGGCATCTCTTTTTATCAGATGGAGCAGCGTTCTCTTATGTTCCTAATATGAACCTTACTTTTATAATTTTCATAATTTATTTGAGTTTGAAGCTTTTGGAATCCTATGGCAGCTTATGTCTAAGCTTTATGCCATCATGCTTTATTCTTCCACAAACCAGGTTTGATCTGTGTTTTCATTAGGGGTTTAAGATACGATACGGTATCTAAGTGGCCCGTGGTGTGTACTAAATCTGAGTCCATATTATAGTTATGGATAATGTATTAGAAAATAAATGAAGTTGAATATTTATTCTGCTCAAGTACTTAATTTGAAATACCCCGATTAAGATTACATATAAATGTTAACAGTATGTAAACGTCTCACTGGAACTGTTAGCAGTTTATAAGGTACCATTTTGTACTGATAATAAAAGATTTCTTAAGTCTCCTGCAAATCAGTTGTTAGTGTTTCTTCTACAAACTATTGAGCTCTGTCTGTACATCGTAGGTAGAATCATCCGAGGTACCATTTGATGATGAGGTGTGGCCTCACCCAGAAGGTGAGAGGCTTAATGAGGTCCCAGCACCGCCTTTCTCCTCCCTCTATTCTCAAAGCCACTCCTACTATCAGGTAAACTTTGCTTTGTAGCCGTTGCATGCGTTCATGGTCTCAAGCGCGTCTGGTTCACATTAAATGGGCATGAAATTGCTTTCAAGCATCCATATTATTTTTTGTTTTTATGGATTTTATAAAACTCATCTAAATTTGTTCCCAAACTTTGATGTTTTAATATTTTTGCACTGTTTGACATGGTCCAGTTGCTGTGTGCTAAACAGAAGGGGTTAAAATTGTCCAAATGTTTTTGGGAGATTTTTTCTGTAGCTATTTTTGAACCAAAGTGCCTGAGGACTTGACAGATGGCAGAAGAAATAAGACATGAGGAAAAGATGACTCCAGAAGTGTTTATATTTATAAAGGAGACACAACTGGAGATAGGGAGCAATGAATGATATAAATATGTTTTTGAACCACCATCGTTTGTTTAGTGGTCCCAAAATCTTTTTTTTATATAAGGTTTGACAATTTAACACATTTAACTGTGATAGGATCCCCCTGTTGACATTTAAAAGTGGTACATCATTTGTCTCCAAAGAGAATATACATGTTGCACTTTTGTGTGCCTAATATTCAGGTGATTGGACTATGTTTTTATTATATAAAAAAACTTGAATGATCTAGTTATAAAATGCAAATACAAAGTGCATGTAAGAGTTGTATTTGCTGGTAGTATTGATGTGATAAAACTTTGGTTATTTATTTTTTTGTTTCATGTGATGTGGTGTTGTGAATAGTTTTAAATAGTTTCTCTGTATATTTGCAAGTTTTCTTTTGAATAGGTCATTGAAAATAAATAGAACCGAATCTGAAGAGAATAGAGTATGATTACATTTTGCTCTTTTTTTTTCTTTCTTTCTGGTATTTGAGGCACAATGACCACAATATATGACTAACCCACTAACTCCCTTAATCAAAACCATTTTCTGCTCTCCTTTCTTGGTGTATTTCTAAAACACACTTTTGTCAAAACTCTTCACACCTGTCTAATAAGCACAATTTTCATGACTAAAATATCACATTTTCATCAAAAACTTACTGGCACTCAAAATTGCAAAAGCAATTTACTCAAACTTTACAAGACTCGTCAAATGGGTAAACACCTGTCACAATTAGCTTTTAGATTTGAGGCAGAAAAGGGCCACTTGGAGGCAAACATTGGAATGTATGGAAAAATACAGCAATTATTTTATCTTTTAATGTTTTCACATCTACACTAGATTTCAGTTTTATGGTAATACCATGTATAACTTTGTGTTGGTGTGATGTGTTTAGTTTAAAAAAATGCCATACATCATACAATATGTACTTTTCAGTGTTTTCAAGTTTGCTGGTTTAAAAAATAAAAAATAAAATGTTTAAAGCACAATTACTGTCACATACTGTGCAATGGATATAACAACAAAGAGAAAAAATATCTATGATTTCAGTTCATCATAGTGTTTTAATCTGAGTGTATTAGTACTCAAAGGCTTCCTATAATTGTTTATCTATTTGATGGTTTGTGGGTGCTATTTGAAAAAACGAAATTGGGTTCTAAGAGGAGTTAATATAATTTTCAAGTTTGATTTTGTCGGAGAATTGTGGGGGCTTTAGGATTTTTTTTTTTATGTTGTGTATAATTCTGAGAATATGATGCATGTTTTTTAGAGAATCTAAATCTGTAAACGTTTGAGAAGAACTGTAACTAGTTTTCCTCACTTTAACTGCAGTAATAGTTTGTATTCTGCAGGAGGCAGCAGAGGACAAAACAAAGATTTTGAAATGAATTCACAAAACCTAACGGATTTTACAGGAGGCATTAAAACCTACTTACTGAAGCTCATTTGTAGCTCTGTATGATTTGCTGTTCTTGTTTATATCTAGTTCTCTATAGTCTGAAGTCACCTAACTTGTACTCAGGGTTACCCTGTGTACCATTTAATTTAAGTTTAAATATAGAGTTGCTCCATTAAGACTTCAGAGGTGTCAGAAAAAAACATTAGATAACTAAAAAAATTATGAAGACCAAGGAACAGGCCAAACAGGTCAGGTCTAAGAGTTGAAGAAGGTTAAAACAGTTTTAGGACATTAGAAAAATAGCTTAAGGCATGTAACAGATGGTTTAGTTTATCATGCAAAAAAAAAAAAAAAATGATTATCCCACTGCTAATAAATTAACATTTAATTGCCTATTTAAAGTGACAAGCAAGCAAGGGGAATAAAACAATCAAGAGAGACATTGTAATTTTGCTGAAACGACAGGAATCAAAGTCGCAAGTGGGGAAGCCATTTACAGGACAATTGTTAGTTTGTACAAACAGATATCTGCCATAAAGGCAAGCAAGAAGGATTGCATAGTCAAAAGAAGGCTTTAATACACCCTGTTTGTAGTTTTCCACCGGCTGTGTTGGAGAAACAGTTTTACCAACACAGGACGAGATTTATAGGCATCCTTTGGGTGCAGGCACATTCCTACTGGGATGCTTGTGTTGATGAAAGATGAGGTCCTCTTCGGGAAGATTGCTTTATGGGAACATCCTCAGTGATATATGTCAGGGTCATTCAGTATATCTTCAGATTACTTCTTGATTCCTGAAGAGGACACAGCAAAGGTTTGGAAGAAAGTTATTTGGTCAAATCTGAAATATTTAGTATACACGCAACAGGCAAGTGTGAGTCAAGACTGACATTGGATCTCAGCACATCTGTTTGCTTCTCTTTACAAGAAACATGGTTGATAGTCAGAATTGATAAGAAGCTGATGTAAGTTAAGTACAGCATAACATTTACATTAAATATTTTAAAGGCTGCTGAAGATAGAAGATATTTCTAATGTTTGATCTTCCAAAAATATGATAACCAGAAAACATGCAGTCATAGCTAAAATACAATATTCTTGGTTAACCAATTTTGTTTAACAGAAGAGCTCAAAATCTGGACCAATATCCAACAAAAAACGTGTGCCATGTTATGAATGATTTTTCAATTCAATTTGACCGAGATGGAGCAATTTTACAAAGAATAAAGTACATTTTCAGTCTCCAGATTAGCAAAACTGTTAGAAACATATCTCAAAAAGACTTACAGCTGTAAATGAACCAAAAGGTTTAATATAAAGTCCCTGCATCATGCACAGACAATCACAAGTCTATCTTATTGTTGTTGTAATATCTGCTTTATATGCAACTATTGTGAAATTAGTGCCAGTTTGGCAATTTTGGAACTCTTGTTTTTCATCATCTGCATTTAGACCTATTCACACATTTATTTTTCTTAAGACTGGTGTTTATATTTTCTTTTTTAAATGAATCTAGTTATGAAGTGTTGCATTGAGGGAGTAAGGTGTTGCTGAACGTTACAATGGATACACGATTGCATTGCAGAATGAGAATTTGCAGTTTATTTTCAACATATGTTACCATCTCCAGGCTGGGAATGATGAAGAAGGATATCTCTAGAGTGTCTCATTCATGCTCTTTATGCTCATTTATTCTAGGGGTGTGGGAAATAATCGTTTTGGCGATATATCGTGATATTCGGCTGCCCAATATAATATCGACCTTTCACTTCTTAGTATCGATTTAAAAAAAAAAATGGTTACATAAAACATTGATGGTAAAATGGGCTACCTCTGCACCACCACTCTGGCAGAAAGCGCTGTGGAGCCCTTTAACTGTGCGTGCAGCACCAAATCTGTATTTGAGGCAGTCACAGTGGAAGAAAACCCAAAAGAACATGGATAATAATACCTAATCAATATTTTCTGATTAAAATATACAGCACTTGCTGTTTTATCTCATCATTTGATTTTGATAGCTGGGGAAAATATGGCAATATATAGTGATACTGCAATATCGTGATAATATGGTATCGTGACCCAAGTATAGCGACATGTATCGAATCGCAACACTCATGCCAATACTCACCTCTAATTTATTCACCATAAATCTTTTGATATATACTCCTGTAATATCACAAATGAGATTCTCTTTAGGTCTGTAAAAAACACAGAATGGGAGTAACAGAACTGTTTGTTTGGATTATGTATTTGAGACTGTTAAATCTATATGTAAATGAACAAGGGCTTTATATTCACTTTCACAATTTTGTGATGCAGTGCAGTGGGACAGATTTCTCATATTGCACCTGTTTATTTGGATGTCCATTTTATTTGGTGATCTGATTAGAAGGGATCAGTACAGGTAGCAGAGACACATTCTAATTCATGGTGTGGACCAACCTAGAGTTTATTTAGTTTAAGGCAATCTATTAGATTGCTCAAACTGAAACGTCTCTGAAAGCTAACACCCAGACCAATCTTTGAAATAACTCGCTGGTAAAATTTATGTCTTCTGCAGAGGCAGAAAGCTGCAAAACTGTAAAGTCGGATTTGTTTTCCTCCCATACCGCGAATGCAGCAATATGTTCACTCTGAAACATCAGTGGGTTTTACTCATTAGGATAATGCAGATAATTAGAAAGGAAGTAATGGAAGAGTGGGCAAGGGAGTGGCAAAAGATGAGATGTAGAGAGAAATACGTGCAAGCTAATGCAGAGTCAGACTGGATTTGTTGCTGTGTGCTAACCATTCTATCAATCAACTAACTTTCCTCTTCCTGGATGATCTACTTTTCCTCCTACTCAGTGGAATTAAGAGCAATTCGAAGTGTGCACTTGGTCATCTGATCTAAAACTCTCAAAAGTAACCAATATCTGACTTAATATTACATAGAATATACAGTATATTTTGAATCATTGTATATTATTTAATTTATTGTATTAACAGTATTTATTAGAATTAGGTCGGTTTGTCTAGAATGCCCTATAAAAGGGCTTCTACATTCAACTTTTATACACACCACAAAACCTATCTGTATTTTATTTGGGTTTTATTTAAGAAAAACACAAAGTAGTGCATCATTTAGAAAATAGAGCTAATTTATGTTTTGTACAAATAAAAAGTGTTGGATGTATTTCAGCATTTATTTGAGTCAATATTTTGTTAAACCATCTTTTGTCAAACCCTTAAGTCTTTTGGGGACTTCTCTATCAGCTTTACATGTCTA